TCCTTTCCCTTTCCCTTTCCTACTACTTCCCGCTTCCACTTGAACTGTTGGTTGTGTTGTAGGCGACGGTTGATTTGTTGTTTGTTGCATCGAACCAAAAGTAGAGAAAAGATTTTGTTGTAAATTTGGGTGTTGACCAAATTGATTTTGTTGAACGTAAGGTGAGTTGGGAAATTGCAGTGGCGGTGAAGCGGGATTGAAAGCGGCACCTTGGTATGGTATTTGTGGTGAACCCTGAGACGACAAAAGGTTAAAATAATTTTCGTACCCCGCAAATCCGAGAGGCGAGGTTGTGTTTGGGTTTGATGAGGGAGGGGGGGTGTTTGGGTTTTGCTCCATTTTTTGATTAACAAAGTGTAGAAAATATAGAGAGGATTTTAAAAATATAAAGTGTAAATTTAAAAAGATTGTATATACATATATATATATATATATATATATATATATATATATATATATATATATATATATATATATATATATAGGTAAAAAGTTAAAAAAAAAAGTTTTTTTTTTTATTTCGACCGTTTCAAAACGGTCAAAAGCAACGGTAAGTTTTTTTTTTAATTCAATTTCTACCCGTTTCTCTTCGTCGTAACGCCCACGAGATCTGCAAGACGAGATGCAACGAGATAGGGGGGGCGGTGTTCCCCCCGTTACGACGCCGTCATCGGCTGCCACGTCACCGCGTCTCTTCTCGTTAAAGGCCCATACCGTTTAGTCTAAGATATGCTACGAAAAAGTAAGTCCATTAAAAAAACACTATATACATTTATCTTATTAATAAAGAACTGCCACACAAACGAAAATACAGGAATAAATTTAAAAACTGTCACACAAACAAAAATACAGCGATTGGGAATGTAACTTAAGGGACCAAACCAGACAAAAATGTCCCAGATTTACTGTTCCTTTTTCTTTAGAATTTTAATATATATAATAATAATAATAATAATAATTAGTTTAAATATAATGATGTTTGTAGATTTAATGATATAGTTTTTAAAGAAAATCAATTTTAAAATATTTTAATAATACATAAATAAAAAAATTGTCAATTTCATAATATAGTTTCTTTTCGTTTTGGTCCGTTTGGAAGATAAAGTTATTTAAAAGTGAGTTGCCAAAATGAATAGAAGCACTTGAGACATAAGTATTATATTTGCATATCGACGATACTTGTCCAATCATTGTCCTCTACTCCTCTTCCTTACGTTTTATAAATTTGGCAAAAACTATAAATGAATACTTATCACTTGTCACTTTAGATCGTCATAGAAGAATTTAATTTTTAGCTTGATTACGGCATATAAGTATTTTTAGCTAAAAGTGATTTTATGTATTTTTAAAAGGTTATATTAAAGTATTAAGAAATCAAACAACCAACTTTTTGGTAAAACAAAATAAATTATTTCTTAGAGATTTATTGATTAATTAATCATACTTTTTAGATTTTTGAAGAACAAAAATTATGATGGGCAAGAACTTAAAGTTTTATCGATTTATATTTTATATTTAAATTTGCTTATAGTTTATTTTATTTGATAATAATTTTATCTATTTATATCGATATTTATTTTAATTTGCCAACAAGCAAATTAAGAACCCCATATGCGAAAAACAATGTGAAACCCCCACTGGTAGGTATACTTATGAAAGTGGAGCATGAGAAAGGGCCTTAAAGAAAGCAATGATGGTGCAAAGCCAGTAAACATGAATATTCCAATTGAAATTATTATACAATAAAATATATGAGAATGAAAAATAAATTGTAAAATTTGATTAACCAAAAACATTATTATAAGTACTTGGCATGATTTTTAAAAACCAAAGAAGGTGAAACCAGTAACAAGTAACAAGTCTAGACCGTAAAACCACATGGTTTATTATTTAAAAGAAATCGATAAAATAAGAAAAATATTAAAAATAAAATAAATATTATTGTGGGTTCGGATCGGATCGATTCGTAAAAGAAAAATAAAATAAATAAATAAATAAATTAAAATCTTACAATTGTACTCGGCGAGATCTTGTAGCTTGATATAATTTCACAATTGTATCATTACTAATACTATTTAAAATATTTTTTTCAATATATGACACCAAACTATTACTTAGAAATTAATCACCCATTTTGTTGTGTACATCAGTCTTTACCAACTTTATTGCTGAAAATGCATGTTCCACACTCGTTGTTGCAACGGGTAAGATCAATACAAGTTTCAAGAGAAGCTAAATCTTAGGATATATTATATGATTATGTTCTTTAAACATCTTTTCGAAAAGTTCTCCAATGCTCTTCAATTGATTAAATCGTTCATCATCTCGCACATCTTTAATGTATTTTTTAAGTTCAACTTCAAGAACTTGAAGACCATATTCTGTTCGAAACCGTTTCCTATAAAGTGTAGCCATTTTCATTAGTTTATCCAAATCAATAGATTTAAAGGACTCATGCTGGCACAAACAAGCTATGCAAAGAAGTAATTTCGTATTGGTTTCATTAAAGCGATGGTTAAGCTCTTGAAGTTGCATATCAATCACCCACTTAAATACATCAACATGATTGTGGTGTAGGTTGTTAACCTAAAAAAAAATGAATCTTTAGTATGCTAATTACAAAACACAATAAATAAATCGAGTTGGTAATATCAAATGTTACCTACATGTGAACCTCTTTAACGACTGAATCCATCACAATATTCATCTTCCATATCCACGATTCTAACATCATGTTTATTTCAAAACAAAGTAACATTCCCTAAAAGTGGTTCCCATCCTACATCTCTAATTTCTTGAATTGATTTTTTAGAGCTACTTACTTGATTATTGGCATTTACGATATCTTGGTATTTTCTTTGTAATGTTGTATTCAAATGATTTGTGACTCCCAAGATATCAACCATCAAGTGTAGACAAAACACAAATCAAAGGACTTTAATAACCTTAAGATGTGAATTGCTTCAGCTTTACGATCACGATCACTGTTATCTTTACCAATGTCTTCAAGTACTTCATAAATGGAAGAATATATGTTTTTGATATTTAGTAGAGATGAAAAATGAGAACCCCATCGAGTATCAGATGACCGTTTGATACCCACTTCTTGGTTCAAACCGGTACCATCTCAAACTCACCTAAAATTTACCATATAAAAGTTTAATTAGCCTAACATAACTACAAAATATTTTAATAATAAATCTAGTATAATTATAAAGCAAACCTTCAACCAAGGCTTCCATAACTTTATTTGCTAATTTTATTCTTAAATTATCTCGTCGCTTGTAGGAAGATCCAATAATGTTTAATAGCCAAGAAACCGCATCAAAGAAATCATTAACCTTCATGTGATTTTTTTTTTTTTTTTGCAGCAAACACTAGGGCTAACTGTAATTGGAGAGCAAAACAATGAATAAAGTATGCAAATTTTGTTTAATTCATAATCAAAATCTTCAATCCATTAAATGCATCACTCATGTTACTAGCACCATCATAACATTGTCCTCTAATTCTAGCATTACTCAAATTTCACTTTGAGAGCATATCATAAATGGTTGCCTTTAGTGTCAAAGTTAAAGTGTCACTGACATGTGTAATTTCTAAAACAAACAACAATTCACAAAAAACAATCAAATACTCAAACAAATGAACAACAATCATATAATCAATTCACATTGAATTAGAAACAATAAAAAATCCTATTTAAAATCATGAATAAAACAATCAAAACAATAGAAAAAATAATTCACTGATTCGATATTAATAAAATAGTTTCCATTTGCAAATAATTAAAAGTTCTAGAAGTGGAGCAATTAATGAATTGTGATTTGTGAAGAATTGTGATTTATGAATCACAAGATAACACTCTAGCATTAGAATTCCAAAACTAAAAAAATTAATATAGATAATTCTCATGTATTTTACTTAATGTTCATAAAATTAACAGAAATGACTAATCGAGTCAGATACTACGGTGGGCAATTGGTATTGCTGATTTGAATGAAATAGAAGTTTCATGCATTGCCGCTGTGAAAATTGTTCTCGATTCACATTCACATTTTATTATTATTTAAATATATTGGGCTATATATGCATATTGTATTATATCTTAAAAATATTGGGCAATTAAAACATAAAACAAGGACATATATATTGTTTTGCTATAAATATTAAGATGGTTCACTTTTATTTTTTGAGGTAGGTCATAGTAATATATATATATATATATATATATATATATATATATATATATATATATATATATATATATATATATATATATATATATATATATATATATATATATATATATATATATAAAAGGTGGGTCATGTGACCCACCATAAACAAACATAAACTCGCTACCGTATAATTTTTGGAAACTCCTCCTACCATGACATAAGTGGTGAAAATGCATTCAAAATCAAACCGATATCTTCCTGGTCATTTATGTTCATTCATGTCTTATGATGCTTTCTTTTCTTCAGTTGGAAGCATTAATATGCACAACGAAGTAGGTTTCATATGGCAAGGGAATATGGGTTGATGTTGTACGGAGGCAAGAATGTGACCTTCATGGACTCTCAACAACCCAAGGTAAAGTAGTAAAAATTTAGGAAAATGACACATATGCCCTATGAATTTTCTAGGGTTGAACATTTTAGTCACTTAAATTTTTAAGTCGATTTGTGAGAGGACAAACTATATTTTGTCGTCTCGATTACATCATTATTTCATTTATGAAGGGGTCAGTCGGTCATATTTAGGTCATCTGTTTTACTTAAACCACATAGCGTGCTGACTGTGTAGTTTGTCCATTGTGATGTCATTAAATAATTCCACACATTAATTTGTTCCCTCACTGTTCATTGTATAGCTTTACGAATTTTAAATGAGACCTTTTGTGGTCAACTATTCACCACTTCCATCTCTTTCGATAAACCCTTACTTGCTTTCATCTCCTCAAACCTGAAACATGGATCCCGTATTCATCCAAGTCGATGTGTACTTCCAAGAAATCATCGCCAAATACCCCATACACTACCGGCGGGATTACTCATAGGTTGTCTGACATCGATTTCGCAAGTGTGGACAAGAACGAGTGTTATGAGTTTATCGAAAGGTTCATTAGAGAAAAGTGTGAGAAGAAAATATTACTCCCAAATAGATATTGATTTTCCAAAAGGTTTGACCTTAGTTTCCATTGAGATGGATTATGCCGATTTTATAGCAATTGCTTATGAATGTGGTGTTATACTCCCTGTGTATGTAGACCATTTTGGTAATAGTAACATGCAGGAATGGTTGGATGAACACAAAGAAGAGATTGTTGATAACATAGAGGAAGAAGTGATTGATGGTGCATGATTAATTAAGGAAGGTTAGACATGTCATGTGGATGATGATGAGGATGACCATGGGGGTGGGGATGAGGATGCTGATGACGATGAGGATGACCTTGGAAACCCTCATTTTTTAAAAAAGGATAATTGGCCCGATGTTAACATGGGTGAAAATACAAGTGTGGGTGAGCCTTTTGAAGAAGACATGGATGACAATGAAGATGTTTATCCTGAGTTGCCAAATATTTTCAATGAAAATCTACACTGGAAGGAGTAGGAACTTGTGTTAGGTATGTGGTATGAGAATCCTAAACAATTAAAACACATGCTCTGTAACTATGTTGTTGCAAATGATTATCAATTATGTGTCGTGAAAAATGATACTAGACGGTTGCTAGGCAAATGTTGTGATGGAAATATATACATTTAGGGTTTGGGGTTCATGGATGAGTGTTGATAAGTCTTTCCAGATTAAATCTCTTATTAGTGACCATAATTATGCAAAGAATTTAAAATTCAGACCAACTATCACTTATAAATGGATAGGTACCCACTTTATGCAAAAAAAAAAAAAAATAATCAAAAGATAAGTGTCAGATTACTTAGAGAGGAGGTGAAAACCACTTTTGGCATTGTTGTGAGTATGAGTCAATGTAAGAGAGCCAAGAAGTATGCATTAAGTCTAGCTGAAGGCATGGTTGTAGAAAATTATACTAGAATATGGTCATATGGTGAGGAGATTAAAATATCAAATCCTGGATCCACTGTTAAAATTTCTATGGATGCAATGCCTGATGGTAAGAATCACTTTAGCAAGATTTACATATGCTTTGCTGTAGTCAAAGAGGGATGGAGGGGAGAGTGGAGAAGGATCATTAACTGGGACAGTTGTTTCCTAAAAAGCTTTTGACAAGGTGATTTGCTTTGTACTGTTGGTAGTGATGGTAAAAATAGAATATTCCCAATTGCTTGGCCAGTTGTATGCATGGAAAACAATGAGAGATGGAAACAGTTCATTGAAAATCTTTCAGAAGATTTCTAGTGTTTGAACAAAGGAAAGGGTTTGGTTTTAATTTCAAATTAATACAAGGTATGTTTCATAAATATTAAACATAGTATAATTATTATTTACATTTCTAACCAGTGGATTAGGTGTCTAAGACTATAATTATAATTGGTATAAACTTGAATTGATAGTAGCACAGTCCTTTTAGGTTACCTTCAAACCTAGCAATTGGACATGAAGATTTTTGGATAGAGAGGTTGATTTATTATTTGATTAATAAACTGAAATAAATAATTTATTAATATATTATGAGAATAATATATTAATTAGAAATAGTAATACTTAATTAATAATTAATCAAAAATTAATGGAATTAATTTTAGGATTAATGGAATTAATTAAAAGTGCAGGGTCTAAAGTGCAGTTGTTCAATAGTTGAACAAAAGGCTCCAGAACCTTCCACCAGAAGGGTGGATGGTTTCAAGTGGGATAATCTAGGATTTCTAGATTATCCTATGTAGATAATTAGGAAGATAGATATTATCAAATTTGAATTATTATTATTTAATTTAAATTAGGGCTATCTAGGGCTTCCTAGTTGCGCTATATAAGGACTCATAGACAATGATTTTTGGCTATCACTTCCTTCCCAAGACTTAGCTGAAATTCTGCTCTCCCATCTCTTCTCTCCATAATCTCCTTCTTGCTCGCTTGGGTGTGAACCATTAGGGGTACGAAATTTGTGGTGATTGCTTCCAAAGGTTCTACAAGTCAAGAATAGTTGTTATTTACCATAACATCAATAAGGTATGTAATCCTAGACCCTTTCTTGTGTTTTTCAAAAATTACCTAGGTTTCAAGGGTTCTTATTTTGATGTTCTTTGTTATAGGTTCAATAGTGAAAACATAGATCTTGTTTTAGGTTGCATGCACACTTAAGAGTTTTAAGTTTGTTTTTGTTATGCCTAACACCAAATCAGTGGTATATGAGCATTTGGTTTGTTTTCAATTGAATTTTCTATAATTGTTGAATTTGATCAAATTAGTGTTTATTGAAATTAAATCCTAAAAGGCTTAAAATTTTGAAATTAGGGTTGGGGTTTTGAAACCCTAACCCTCCTTCTCGAGTTTCGAAATTAGGGTTAGGGTTTTAAATCCATAACCTTCCTCTCCATTAAATTTCTAAAATTGATAGGTGGTTAATTTTTTTTCTTCCTAAATTTTGGTAATTATCAATTTACTTGCTTAAAAGGAGATAATTAAAATTGGAATAAGTCGTATACCCTGTATTTTCGAAAAATTTAGAAGGTAAGGATTAGGATTAAACTATTTGATTAATTTAATTAGATAATAATTATTTGATTTGATATATTTAATTAATTGTTAACTAATAGATAAATATCAAATCATTTGGTTTATTTTTAAATTTAAATTAGTTATTAATTTTTGAAATTTAATTATAAAACTAGTATTTTGAAAAGTTTAAAAATACACCTTGTACTATATGTAAAATTAAAAGTTTAATAATTACTATATATATAAGAATATGTTAGTCGACCCGCTAGTACACCTCAGTCACGAAGCTAGTCTATAAGGGGGTATACGGAAAATACCTATAAATTGGTAGTTAAATGGATGTTCATTCTCACCCATCGCTTCTTTAATTAGTGGAGGTTCGTTAGCTGCATGAGTTTGATAGGACAATTAATTCTCATTAATAAGTATAATGAATTAAAAGTAACCAAACCCTTTTTTTATATAGAATCCCAATGTTAGTTTAGAAAAATGTGAATTTGTATGCTAACTCATAAAATTGCACATTACACTTTATAGTTCGTTTGTGGAGCATGTATGGTTAACCAACACACTAATAGGGTCTAATAAAGAGTTGTAATGGGTATCTTATAAATTATCATCATTGATGGAGTGTGTGTGATTTATCAGCACATCAGTTGAGACAATAAATGAAAATAAGGTTACCAAGCACATTTGTGTGGTTATTCACATCTTGTTTGTGATCCTCAGTATCCCAGTCACAAATAGAAGAGCATAATATGAGATTAAACATGACATCAAATAGTTTCAATGAATCTGAAAAGATCTCGGAATTTCATCAAAACTTAATTTCCTTTTAACTTTCATTTTCTGTTGGTGGAATTGGTAAATCGTCATTTACCTACCTTTATAAATTTACAATTCGATTACGACATCCTTTTCTAACTTGTGTATTATATAGTTGGATCCCAGCCTTAATATTTCATTTTTGAGGCTGCTATATTAAAAATTATTCTTATTTAACTAAAATTATCTTCCTTTTACAGATGTCTACTCCAAATGATGCTTCTGGTTCCTCCTCCTCCAATCAAAACTTCTCGTTGTTGAACATCTTCTCAAAGGTGACATTGGATGGTACCAATTACAATGAATGGATGCCAACATCAAAATGGCCCTTCATTTCGAGGTCAAGGAATATGTCCTTGAGAAAGAACTAACTGAGATTGACAAAGAGAAGGCCACTCCTGAAGAATTAGCCGCCTGCAAGAGGCACTACAATGATGCAACAAAAGTTGCTTGCATCATGGTTGCCAAAATGTCCCCTGAGTTGCAAAGATTCTATGAGAATTACTAGCCGTATGAGATGAATAAGGACCTTGTGGAGAAATACCATAAACAAGCTCATCAAGAAAAATACGAGGTGGAAAAGTCCCTCATTATAGCACCCGTGTAACATCCCGATATCCGAGGTATAACATTTGTTATATAGGCATGAGTTTGATTGGGTGACTCGACGAGTTGGATCCTTAACTCGTCGAGTTGGGTCACGACCTGGGGACGTGTCAAATGGATGGACTCGACGAGTCGGGTATCTGACTTGCCGAGTTAGCATTGTGGACGGAAACCCTAATTCCTTGGGCTTGAGACATATATAAAGGACCTTATGGCCTCCCAATTGTGGCTATATCTTCCAGAGAACAACCCTAAAGGGTCCTTGATTGTATAGAGTGAGAGGGAGAGCTATCTTGAGCTTATAAGTCTAATTATGCAAAAGAGGAGGAGGTTACAATCAAGAATGCCAAAGGAAATATCTAGATCTGAAGATTTCATTCAAAGGGGCTTCAGTTGGAGGTATTATATTCGACCCATTTCCTTACCTAATTGTGTAGATCTATTATTTTGGAAATTAGGGCTTATATTATCTTTAGGATGGGGGTTTTTGATGCATCAAACCCCTTTCCAAGCTTGAGTGGTAGATCTGGACCTTTTAAGGTCCAAAGAGTCCGAAAGTATGAGATTATAGATGAGCAAACATGGAGTTTGGAAGCTATGAAGCTTTAATGGAGTCATAATGGTATAATGAGAAAAATATACCATGCATGGACATCAAGGTCGAGCCTTTGCGTGACTTTTGGATTCTAGGAGGCTAGATCTATATATTGGTGAATCAGATCTGACCTCAAGAGTGATTGAGCATGTGCATGGAGGGAACTCACCAAGTTCCTTGGTGAACTCGACGAGTCAGATTGGGTTGCCCTACGACTCGTGACCATTGGTGACCCGACGAGTTGGGTGAGTGGATCAGTGAGTCGAGTGAGACCTTAAGATGAATCTGAGTACACGTATAGACTCACCGAGTCATCGCATGAACTCGACGAGTCTGGTTAGAGTGGACTGTTGACTTCCGTTGACTTTTGGGTTTAGTCAACCAGTGGACGTTTGGAGCAGTAGAGGGGTAGAATGGTCTTTTAACCTTCTAAGAGATTATAGTAAGAGACTTATGTAGCCTTTGTGAGCCATTATTGAATTAAAGTAATTTATTTATGTGATTAGGTGGAGGCTAGATCAGTATTCCAAGTTCAAGACTGTTTGAGATTTCCCGAGGTGAGTCTTTTCACTATACTTTACCTAGAGTGGTAATTAGAGTTATGTGATAGAATATCTTGTATGCTTTTGTATGATGTGATTTCTATGTATGATTCAGAGTTCACAGAGTTAGGACTGGAAGGTCCATAGAGTTCGGA